TTTCGATACTTTGGCTTAACCGTTTTGAAAAATCTTCAACACCGTTGTTTCGACCAATTTTTATTCATTTATTAGAAAAGCATCTCTGTTCAACGTACTCAAAGCATATTCACTGCTACATCCTGCTACTGGCTATTGCCAAGCTCAAGCACCGATTGCTGCAGCGTTACTTATACATATGCCAGAAGAGGATGCATTTTGGACCTTTGTCTGTTTATGCAACCGATATATGACCGATTATTTTAAATCAGATCTTGTAAGTCAGTTATCTTGCCTAATATGACTATATTTTTGTTAGAGATTGGTCATTTCTTCACTTAACAAGACCAAGCGACCTAATTAAATAAATTGGTAATACCTGTTGTTTCACTATTAAATGAAAAATTTTCTATTTTCATATGTGATAGCATTTTACTAAGGATTCCAGATAAATACCAACAATCATTGGAAATGAATACAATTCTTTTGCCTCACTGTTTTCACATACACCAAACATAGAACATACTAAAGAATTTCTTGCTTTTAATCTCACTGGTAGATCTGTTTTAAACCACACATTAATATATCAATAGTTTATTTTATTTCATGGCTTTTTTTCATTCGGTAAAGTATGAAGATAATCTAAATGCATTAAAAAGAAGGTTAGGTGATTATAATAAAATGGTAGGTTAAATACACGTAAAATTAAGTATTATAATCTACTGTCCGGTAACTGCACTGGGAATGCTTTATTCCCTTTCATATATAGACTTTTTATTGAGCATTCTTAAAACCAAATAGACAGTCATTTTCCGATCCCTTTTTGTACATTGATTATTCACGTTCATGTAAAAAAGGAAAGACGTAGTGGAATGTGACATGATTATGGGATGTAGATTATAGAACATGAGTTGCAGTAAATGTAAAAGTACACTACTGACATTCGTGTTTATTCTTTGAAGCACATAATGCATAAAAATGAGACAACATTATTTTGATGTCAAACCACTGTCACGTTTTGTTGTCAATTTCATTTTTAGAAATAAAATATTTATTTTGCTCTAGATAGACAGTTTTACTTTTTTAAGATTTTACTATGTGGTATAGTTCGCTACTTTTTGTGTTTAAGTAACTTACTATTTTTACTACTTAAATTAGACTTCATCTCATGCCCAACATGTCTAATTAGTGTTTATTTCAAAAATCCAACAATTATCGTCTGGTAATTTTACCAATCTACAATCAGTTTGAAAATGGTTTGGGAAAGTTAATGTTGACTGAGCAACCCTTCTAACAAATGGTTCTATTTGCCCTAGAAATGTATAACTGTAAAAACTTCATTATTTAAGGACCAAACAAAAACCTTTCAGCTTTCAGGACAAATCCTTGTTAATAACTTCCTACCACTGTTGACTCATAGCGTAGCTATCCGTTCCTTATCTGTCAGTGGCAATTATTCCTTAACCGTCGGGATCAGTTTCAATTCAGAAATATTACGCTTAAATTCTTAACGGAAACAGATACATAATTTGAGCTTCCGTTGTTTTCTATCATTACTTTTATTTCCAAGTGCTTGATTGTTTCCACTTTAGCTATAGTGATAACTATTAACTTCTGATTTAATTTAAGGTACGTGTCAAAATTGAATTGAACATGTTATTTGAATTGGTGAAGAAATATCAACCAGATATTTACCATCACATGGTATGTTTTTCGGTGTATCAGTGAAATTCATTTTCTTGACTTTGGTAAGAAAGTGTTTGAAATGTGGTGATAAATAACGTATTTTATGGCCCATTACATAAAATAAATTCAATAAAATCACTTTGTTGAGTTTGCAAGAATAGGAATATATTAGCTATCTTTAACCTACTTGGTTATAACACTTGAGGACTTTTACTGTTCTTACTTGCACATAACTTCTTTTGAATAGTGAAGTACAGTAGGTTTTAATATTAATGTTGGTGATACGGAAATTCCCAGACCTGTTCAAAACCTACTCTACTAGCTGCAAATGAATTAAATTTTAAAAATGGGAGAAGACTGTAAACAATCGTCAAGGTACCGTATTAAAGTTAGTGCAAAGTTTGCAATAATGTACATGGTAATTATTGTTTTATATGAATATCAAACAAAAGTACTTTTTGTTGATAGGCTTCATTAGGCAGTGAGTTACAAGTTTATTTTCCCGAAACAGCTGAAACAAAAGCCTCAACTCTGAAAGTTTGTTTGCCTATACCATTTAACTAGCAGGATATTTATGCCCAAAACAGTCAATCACTGACAATCATCATTGGTTAGGAAGTTCATTTTCACTAGGACTATAAATCAGCCTGAAATCCGAAAAAATCAGGCTGGTTTCAAACCTAAACGTGGATATATAGACCAAATATTCACCTTTTCGCAGACTGTGGAACATAGACATGCTTCTCAACATTCGATTATAGTTGTATTTCCTGACCATAAGGCGGCGTTCATTTCCGTTGATCTCGAAATTTCGCGTCGGTGTCTGTCATTAAAAGGAGTATCAAAGAAGTACATTAGCCTTGTGCAGACTGTCTATTAGAACATTACTGGTCGAGTTAAGGCATATGTCGAACTATCACTAAGAGTGGTTACTTTAAGTGGCGTTTGTCAGGGCTGTCTGCTTTATCCATTTTTATCCAACTTTTTCGCAGGCATGCTCTTAGAGACAGCACTTCCATCGTTTGGCATTTTGTGGATGGCATTTCTACCAAAAGATTCACTTGTTGACTTGGAATACGCAGATGATATGGTTCCGTTTGTTGGAGATGCTGATAAAATACAGAATATTCCAACCACCTTAAGCAACAATGAAAGTATGTTTGGGAAGTGGTTCTCTCTCTCCAAACGCAAAATTTTACTTCAGGATCGGCTTGCATCATCACCTGATTGAATGGGTGAAGTAGTCGAACGCATCGACCACTTCATTTATCTTGGGGATCTCATCAGTACTGACGGTCTGGTTTCTAACGAATTCTCAGCACAAATTCAGTAGACTCGATTGACTTTTTTCAACTTCCGTCGCTTGTGGTGTAGGTAAGGTATCGATCTTGTAGTGTGGCGTCGAGTCGCGGTTAACTATGATCACCACTACAGGAAGACTACGTGCCAGTTAACCGATAAGATCCCTCGTAAGCCAAATATCAGAAGGCAGTTGATGGCTGTAGTCAAGATGTATTCAATGGCGATCTCGTGGTATCGAAAGAATACTGAGATCGTGCCAAGTTACAAGTGTGGTTACTGAGCGCAAGAGAATTCGTGCAAGGTCACAATCAACGGAAGAATGTATGTGTTTTGGTACACTTAAACAAACAAGTACAGTAAAACAATCACTGGTACATTGGTTATATTAATAATTGTTTCCATTAAACCAATCGCGTTCTCTTGATAAAAGTGGGTCACTACAGTCTCCTCACCAAAGGGCGAGTTTACTGCGCAGAAGTTCCCTGCTTCCTACTTCATGGATGAGGAACATCCCCACTAAGAATAGGGGATATTCACAGGTTACTAGTATTCGATGACAAGTGTCTTCGAAGCATTGCTTGTGTAACGGGACCAGCAAGTAAGCGATGGCTGGGTTAGGAATAGAGCAATAGGTAAAGATGGGGAATCGATTGATAAGGAAGTAAATCTTCATCAACTGAAGTGGTTGTCGCTTATGTTAGGTATGCTCAACCACCGTCTTCCTTGAAGGACAATGTTTTCTATTGTAGGAGTAGGCTGGAGGAAAGGTAGAGGCGACCAAACAAAATTATTATAGGCGACAAAATATTTGTTTTTTATCACATGAGTACATACTTTCAAAAGCAAGTCCACCAATCACCTATTTCAAAACTTTTTAATCACAACCTTAAATTTCTCATCAACGAAGGGTGGGGAATCAGGATCACCGTGCTATATTGTCAACCTAATTTCTTAATGGGCTGTAAACTTTGAATTAGGGAGTTTTAACGTAACATCATGTTTAAATCTTACCAAATATGGTTACTATATAGATTATATTATCAGGTATTTGTTTAAGATTTATAAGACTTCCTTCTTCATCATATACAAACAAACTTATTGAACCTGAAAAGAAATCATTTGAATATCTTTCTATCACACACAGATTTGTATTGTTACTAGGAATGTCCCGACACTTTTACTAGACCTCTGGAATATTATACTTTCATCATGTTTTTGATCACACTAAAATGTCTTCAATCTTACATTCAATTACTTAAAAAAATCTAAGTTGGTTACATAGATAGTTCTGTACAGTTAGCTCATAGAGTCAGATCTGTTTCCTGAAATTAATACTGAAGACGAGCGAAACACAGTACGTATATTCATTTTCAAGAATTTATATCGAACAAAATTTGTAATCAATTATGTAAACGATTTTAAGACGTCGAATGACAACATTTTTGAAGGAACTTAAATTTGGAGGTAGCATCAGCAGCTGTGTAATGAAACAATACGTAAGAAAAAACATTTATTTCACACAATGATTTCCATTTATTTTGGTGTGAATACAGACAAAGGCGAGACTATAATTTACGGACGAACCAATCAGGTATAAATTAACAGGTCTCGGATTTTGGCACGAAATTCACTCATTCGAGTAAATAGAGTTTTGGCATTATAGCTGATGTCAGTTCGTGATGAAAACTCTGAATCTAATTTCTAACCTTAATCACCATCTGTAAATCAGAATTTTAATTCTTCACACAGGTTTATAACCCTCATTTGGTCCTGGTTATTCAATGAACACTCTCAAGGTCACTTTAGCGTCGCTCGAAGGTCGTCTATAAACTATAATCTCATCAAGACAAATTTCCTTAGCTTGACTTTGTATCTCCATACAGTAATTGAGTTTTATGCACTATTACACAAGTTTTTCATCATATATCTGAGCACTAACCATCACTCTTAGGTAAAGACTCATTAGGTTCAATATAAAGATGTATGACTGTTCCATTTGTGAACATTAAAAATCCAATTGATCAAAATAAAGTATTCAGACTCAATGATTGTGTGTCATTTAATTTACGATATAACTTTCATACATCTGAATCCATTAGGATCTTTCGCATTTTGCTGATATTTTATAGATAGAAAAATCTTATTCAACCACTATGATTATCTTGAATTTTAATACAGTTTAGATTTTCCTAATAATTAATTCAATAAAGTGGAGTGATATACAATAGACCTCTTTTTACTGTTTCAAACCACATTTTGTTTGATTAATCATCGACGGCTATTTTTATTATCCAACTATTTAATAAGAAATTTGAACATTCTAATTATTGCTTCTTTAGTCATCTATATATTAAAATAATCTTCCTCAATATCTCGATAGTGTAATAAGAAGATGAAGATTATATTAATTTCCTTAATTGTTGAGTTACTCCCTTAACTGTTATTTTTAATGACAATTAGAAATTTGAGGGGGGGGCGTTGTGGAGATTGTAGTAATTTCATTAGTTGAGATCATGAGTCAATTGAAGCTAGACCACCGTGGTAAACCTGGATTAGTTGAAGTTAGACATTAACACCGTTTGATGCCAACTCAGTGGTCTAGTGGTTAAGCGCTCGCGCACGAGACTGATAGGTCCTTGGTTCGTATCCCGCGAGGCGGGGTTGTGGATGCGCACTGCTGAGGAGTCCCACAATAAAACGTAATGGCCGTCCAGTGCTTCCAAGTTTTCCATTGCGGTCTAGCTTCAATTGACTCATGATGTCAACTATTGAAATTAGAAATTTATCGGAAAAATAAATGAGTAAATCATTAACACAATAAAACTGAGTTGTTTGTTTTTAATGCCAAATGTATTAATTATTGGTGTAAATAAATACCTGTTCACTTAAACTTCTAAATGGTGAAATGTTAGATGGATGTTACACCAATTCTCATACATATTTAAAATAATTCAAATTTCTGGTAAAATTAAAATTAATTTGATTCAAATTAACGCTATAGCAACTTTCCTACAATCAATTTCGATTATGGTTAATTTTGTTAAGCCGTTTTTATTAACTTATTTAACAGACAATGTTATTTGGACAGTAACAATTCGTCTATTTCTTTGTACTATTGTGATTACTATCTTGTCTGTATAAACGTGTACGCTTGATCACATGCGACAGTCCATTCACATGTCTCTTTCTAGCTTAAATGTTAGTCGCTTAAATATCGATCGATGAATCATTCTCTTTCTTATGTTCATATGTGCTCAAATCCTATTAATTGCCTTGCCTTGCTGCGCCTCATTCGATTTGACTATAAATTCGCGCCTGTATTCGCTCGCTCACACACATTAGCCTATCTGCTCCAAATTCACTCGACATGGCTGTAACTTTGTTATCTGTGCTGTCCGCTAATAAACTGAAGTCGCTGCTTCTTATTGCCTTCTGATTTCAAACACCGTTGGGAGTTATATAATAACGATTATCGAGGTGATTGATTAACGAAGCTAAGCAACTACAACCCTACCAAGCATAAGAAAATGAAGCACGACTATTTCATTATAATAGACTTGAATAGGTTAAAAAAACATTCAGAAAAATCATACCGTTATTGAAATAACTTATTGTTATCTTAAAAGATATTATATGTGAATTGTCTCAATGGTTTTATTTATTTCTTGAACATAGGTGAAATGTAACACAGAGCCAATATATTTTGCTATTGACTGGTTCATGTGTTTGTATACACGCAATTTGCCATGGTCTACAGTCCTCCGTATATGGGATATGTTCTTCTTCGAAGGTATGTATAGACTGTTTCCCTACATTCAACGTATCTGCCAAGTCATTACGTTAAAGAAAGGACCAATCACTTGACATCTTATTAAATGTAACTTTATATTGAAGATCACTGATTTCTATTTAAAATATTATTTGACTAACTTATTAATTACGATCGGCTGTGAATATCTCACATTTTGTTACGTCAGTGTATTGCAATTGTAATTGTTTTAACCATAACTTGGGCTCAGCTTGAGGTACAGTATTATACTGACGACTATCAGATATACCAATAATACCAAAGGATGAATGTATAGGAAATCAGAAAGTTAGTCTATAATGGCTATTCCGATTTGCAGTGATTTAAAAAGCTTAATTGCTTACCGCCAAGCAATACGTGTGATGTTAAATGTTTAGAAATGAAGTAGTAAATATAGGTTGTGGATTATCCAGTAATCATCCCAGATGGACAAATTACCTTCCTCATACTAAGCAGCTTTACATAAAAATTACGGTAAAATCCCTTTACAACTCTTCTAGAATAATCTATTGAGCATCACCCCATTGGGCAGTCAACTTCGTAATATAATGATTTTGCCACAGTTAAACTTTGATTTTTGAGTGTCATATAATTCAATTAAGAATGCGATCTCCTTTTCTATTATCGACAATTTAGGATTACGAAATTAACAATGACATCACTAAGTTAGCACGCTTTCAGGGGAAAGACCAAATAACTAATGAAAACTTGATCAATACAGACGGAATGTTTTTGACTGCTTAGTTCAAGAATATATCTATCTATGGATATATATATTCGGTTACAATTTCTCAACGATAGAAGAAATTGTTTAGAGGACAGAATTATAAAATTAGTCAATTTAATACTAGTTAAGTGTAATGAGTTTTCTATGGCAACTGATGTAATTGATTATTTTATTAAAAGCACAGAATAAGCACAAAAGGTTAGATTAATTGCCAATAGATATAAAAATAATCTGGAAACATTGGACGACCATTCCTTCCTAGTCTGGGACTCCTCAGCAGTGCGCATCCACGGTCCCGCATGCGGGACTTGAAATGGGACGAAATGCCCCTCCAGTGTATCTAGGTTTTCAATGGTGGTCTAGCTTACATCGACTCATGAATTCAACTATTAAAATCACAATAATCTCCACAAACCCCATTCTGATCATAAAAATAATCATCACTTATTTTTTTCACCTAGTTGTAATTCTAATAAAATTTGGTTAGAAATATGAGAGATGATTATCTAATTAACAGATATGAGGAACATTTTAACCGCTGGAAGATTCTCATCGTAATAAAACACCAGTATATCCAATGTTGATTTGCATATTAGTCATTTAAACATTAACAATTTCATTTTATTTTACAAACAATCCTGAATTCAAATGTTGTGATTTTAAATGATGTATTTGCCTTGAACCTGGTCGCTTTTTCGATCATTAATTCGGATATATAATTTAAAACCAGGAGAGAATTTATTGAAAAAAATATTTGTGATATGATAAAAATCTTTCGGTGATTAAAATATTCTTCATATCTGTTAAGTGGACAGTTTTCCCTCATATTTCTGGACCATAAACTATTCTTATCAACCTGTTCTTCTTTCAACTCTCGATCACAACCTAAACCTCTTTTGATATTTAAAATCCAAACAATTATAAATACTAATGTAAAGCTTAGGTAAATGATTTTGTCGAAATAAAGTTTTCTACGTTGAATCTGTTTATTTCCATTCACTGACACAAGTTACTTAAATTATCTGGGAATTGTCTAAGCAAAAGTAATCAACCTTGTGTTGACTAACCTTCTGTCCACGTTGTTCTATGCACAGGTAAGATTTGTCATTCACGTGATTTCATTGATTATTCTGTCGATCGAATGTAGATTATGATCATGTTATTTACATCACACATATCACTCACTTATAGGAAGGATGTATATTAATCTTGGAAAGTACTTAAATAGAACTCGGTTATAACATTCTACAAGAGTTGTTTTGAATTGTTCATAATCCATATTAGATACAGGGGTAAGGTCACTTATCCTATGAATGAAACTTTCAAATTAGATTTTGACATTCGTTTCATTAACATTAGTTGATCTAATACAAAGTTTAAGACTAAGTGATATTGCCTATAGCTGAATAGTCGGTGATGTTATTCTAGAGCAACTGAATTCATATTTCTCTTGTGTTTCCGGGTAAGAAATATGGATCTCCATCTCCCTTAAACTTTCATTAGCTTCACGTTCAAGTCTTCTGTGAGATTCCTAACAACTGTATTACTGTCATCTTTGAATATACCAAGTTTATCTTCCGATGAATCATATAATTTATGTGTTCGTAATGAAATATTTCGTTGCATTTATGGTATTTCTGGCTTAATTTCATTGATATAATTCAGTGTAAGACGTTTCAAAGAACAATAAGTTGGGTGGATGTGGTTTCAACGTAATGTTCTGAAAAGTGGTCTCGGATACTTACTTTTATCAGAATAGCTTTTCAAAACAGTGATTTTGAGATCCGATATTGCAAGCTTGACAAACAAGTGTAATATAATGGTTGTACTTTGTATGTTATTCTTTCCTAGTTTGTTTCAACTAAAAATTTAGTATGCTTAGGGTTTTATCCATACCAATCACAAATATGAATTTGATCCATATATGTAGTTGCACATTTTAATATCATAAAACTGTCAAGAAAAAATACGTTTACGTCTTTCCAACTTATGAGCAATAAAAAATTGTGTTACATGACTGCTCTTGGTTTAGAGTATAACATTTACGTGAAAACGACGACAGACAGTTAATACAAGCATGACAATATCTGCCATCTAGATTGTCCAACTATTCCAAATAACCGTTCGCCATGATTGTTTTGGATAAAGCGGTTATCGATAAATATCGGATATTTTAAAATGTAAACTGTAACAGGACAAATAATGATCAACAGTTAAGTAGCATTAAAAATTCAAATCTTGTATTATCAAAGGGTATGGAGTTGAACATAGTTTTTTGTTTACTCTCATTCTAGGTGTGAAGGTTTTATTTCGTATTGCACTTTCTATATTTCAACTTTTACTGGGAGATTCGAATTCAAGAAGAAGATTGAATTCAATGGATAAATTAATGGAATCTTTACGTAATCTACCTAAAAATATAGTCGGTGAACATGTGCTTATTAATCATGTAAGTTGACATAATTTTATTCATCTATGCGAAACATTATCCTTAGCCTTATCAGCGACATAATGTGATTTCATCATATCTCCAATTTTCGGAAGATCAACGTACCTAGGAATAAAATTCTTGAATCTAAAATTCGCTTAGGATATACAAATTTATCTAATTACCATAGTGATAAAATATCTAGGCTTATCACTACCTATCAAAAGGAAACGAAATGTAAAACTATATTTTTGAAATGAGAGTATAGTTGATAATCCTCACTAGACTGTCTGAAGTAGCAGTAGGATGGGTGGTGTTACAAAATAAGCACATCAGAAATAAACATTAATTTACAATAATCAGACTAAAGTATGTGGTTTGTAATTAGGATTACTAATTAAACTGGGAAGTGATGGTTAGTTGTTACATCCTCGGTTTATCTAACTAATAATATACTGAAGAGAACTTGTCTCGATCTAAGTCAAGGCCTTGGCACGATAAACTAACTGGTTCACCTATGAGGCTAATAATGCGTGAGTTCGAATTAAAACCAATGGCCTTAGGCAGAGACGAAAACTATTCGATCACCTGATTGATTGACAAACGACAGAGCGAGAGAGAAGACGATTCAACTGAAGCGCTTCTCTATTTATTCCTGAATCTCGGTTCAGATGAGTGTAAAAATGCATAAATATATAGATAAATAACACGATTACAACAAACTAACAATTATGAAAGTACATTTATGTGCAAACTGGGCATTAGAGTAGGAATATAAAGTACAGTAGTTTACGTTTAAATTACAATTGCTCTGGAATATGAAATGGTATGACGGTGAATTATGCATCAAGCAAAGCTTATGGTTTATGGAATAATCTAGGGACAAAATTAAATGTTAGTATTTTGCAAACTTTAAATTAAGTGAAATAACGTCCACAAAAATAACTTCTATTGTTTTTCATGCCTTCTTTATATCTCTGTTAACATCATTAGATTACCAGTATTTGGTGAGAATGTAGTCGAGTTTAATTCAATAAAATACCTAGACACCTTACTACTTATGTTGATTTATGTCAGTAAAGCCCAACATGGTTTATTTATATAAACCAAGCTATTAATTGGTTGAGTTTCTATTTAGCTCAGCTACAACCAACGTGTTAAAACATTACTTATTTAAAACGGAAAAAGAGATTATTTGGTTGTCTGATGTACGGAATAAGTAGCATGGATGTACGAGCATGCGTGTGGGACTTTTATTCATTGGCTTTTCGAGCGTAAATCAGTGTTTACTGATTAATCTGTGACGTTATAATCAAGCCTCAATGTATCTTTCTCGTTTATGAAGTCGATTCAAATAAAGTCCTATGAGGTATTTTATTCCATTTCGTATTTGATGAATTGATGATTTAATATATGTTACAACTTGCAATTTTGCTTCACTGATTCTCCTCTTACGTTGACCTCAGTAGTTCAGTCACCTTTCTGAATACAAATCAGTAAATAAAGAAAATGAAGCAGATTCGTGGCTATAGATAAATCATTCAAAAGTAGCTTAACGTAAAACATACTTTTTGAAAACTAATAAATCTACTAGGAGTAAGTATTCACAATTAGAATCATTAGCTTAAACTGACATAGTATATATAAGTTGAATAAATAGAACGTTTCCAAATTTTGAACTGAATTTGCGAAAAGATAATGATGCGAACTATGACCGTACTACCCAACTGGAAACATAACTATGAGTAAGATTTATTTTACAGAATGCGAAGTTAGTAAATTCTGTCTGAACTATCTAGTTTAAGTTTTATACCACATAAATTCGTCCATGAATTTTGTTCTTGAATCGAGATAGAACAACTATTAGAGCAGAACAGCATTATTTCATTTCATTTTGTTAGGTTCTCATTAACTCCTGACAACCCGTAAGTCGAATTTGAACAAAGTTTAGCATACTTATAGAAGTTAAGTTGGTTCAAAGTTAGTAGAGGATATATCAGCATAATGTATCAAAAAAATTGAATTTGCAAAGATTGAGTAGGATGTTGTAAGTATGCATATATATAATGTAACCTCCAAACTAAATCAGTTCTGAATAGGGTATAACTATTAAGGTTAGTTTAGATGTACGCTATCGCCCAGTCGAAACTAAGACGAAGTAATCGACTGAATGACATTTTCTAAATTTTATTATAAATTTAGACGTACGTTATTACCTAAACAAATATTACCACGTAGTTATTCAACCAATAACTGTTTAATCAGTAGCCAAATCTAAATAACATGAAATAGATAAACTGACAAACGATAATAACTTAGTATAACAAACAAATGGTCTCATCGACGCTGGAATGTGATGCTCTCCTTCCTGGATAGATCACGTATAAATTGTTTCAAAGATAATACCTAATTTCTTTATAACACGGAATGTTTTCATTGCTGCAAGAGTGCTTCAATTCATAATCCAAAACGAACAATTTCAGTCAATTAAAGCAACACAATCAGAAATGTGAGCGAATCAATAAGACGGTGGCCATGACCAAGTATAAACTAAAATAACATAGATGTAGTTCAAGAAAAACATAGAAATTCGGTGAAGACGTAAGGAAAACAAACTACAATAAAATACAAATGGTGCCATCTCAAATGGAATCGAAAGGTTGACAAAATGTACATCTGAAAGAATCAAGTAGAATAAGTTACATCAGTGTGTAAGTGGAGAAATTTTTTTATAGAAAACTTGCGAAACAGATCTTACATATAACCCAATAGAAGGTTCTATAATATTGATAAGAGTAGCAGTAAAAGATCATAAGATCGAAACTAAGCGATAACCGTATGACATAGTGGAACACAAACTAAGGACGATTGACAATGATTTTAAATCACCTTTGACATCTAAATTGTATGTTTTGAAATTTCTCCTCAAGCTAAATTTTGACACGCACTAACTAGGTTCTAAATGAACTTCGTAGAGTGTTCCGAAGGAGCTTCGTATAAGTGTTTGTTTGAAATAAACTGACAAAATTTTGTGGGAATTCTGGCATACGTTACATTTGAGACTGATAGTTTTTTTTCAATACATAATATCTAAATCATCGATCATTTTATTAAGAGCAATACCCTCTGTGCACTGAGGTTTTACGAATCGATAGGAAAAACATTATGATTTGAAGTAGTTTTCTTTCATTCTTAATCTAATTTTTAGATGGCAAAGCTGATTTAATGTCATTTTCAATTGTCTGTCACTTGTGTTCCATTATGTCATTCGGTTATCACTTAGTTTTGATTATAGTGGAAATCCTCATTTTGAAAAGTGAAGAAATTTCTCTTCATTAATTTTTTCATCATGGCTATACACTAATATACATATATTTGATCTACTCATTGAGTAGTTGTGTCACGTAATAATTAGGAAATTATCAGTATGAGGGTGTAGAGATGATTAAGTGTTTGATTAAGATCATGAATAGACGAATGTTATACCACCACTGAAAACCTGGAAGCACTAGACGGCCGTTTCGTGGATGTGTACTGCCGAAGAAATCCATACTAGGACGAAATGGCCGTCTAGCACTTCCAGGTTTTAAATGGCGTTCTAACATTCGTCGATTCATAATCTCATTTCAAAAAAATTAGAAAAGTAGTCCAATATTTTTGAAGGAAAGCGTCTAATCAAAGTTCAGTTAAAAACTTACTCCAATACCTAGGTAGCAAGAGTGGTTGTACAAACATCTTTTGTATGCAAAGATTAGGTTTTGTGGACATGAATTTCGATAGTTTAAGCAATATACGACAGACAAACTCATAAACCATATGGTAAATTTGATGGAATACTGTAGATAACCTCAAAAGCTTAATTCAAATCAACTTGATGTCTTGTATCCACCAAGTGAGTGAGAATAGAACTCTTAATCACTCTTATTTTTCCTTTGCTCAACCAAGATGGATGATGTTCTGCTGTGCGATGACGGACTTGTTGAATTGTACACCCTATATAATTGGCCCCACAGAAACAGTTGAGTTAGTAGATACACATGGATGTGGCGAATTCAGACAGTCTGTTTTTATTGAAGGTTCTTAGTATCAGGAGTTTATAGAAAACTGCGCTCAGTTTGGCTGCAGTAAATGTCTTGTGCACCGTCTTTCTTAACCTTCGAGTTATAATTTTCTCAATGGTATATTTAGGGATTGTAATTTAAAGAACAATATTAGGAACGGTAACCCTATGGCTAAACTATCCAGCTGCCTATGGTATTCATTGTTGTATTGGAATTTGATATTCATCGTACATCTGAGAATCAACTGTCTCAATACGAATACGGGAAATAAGGTTTCTGTACGCCTCATATTTTCTTTTTCCATTACTGTGATCAATGTTATAGAACCTCCTTTTGGATTATATATACATGCTTACAACATTCTACTCAATCTTTGCAAATTCAATTTTTTGATACATTATGCTGATATATCCTCTACTAACTTTGAACCAACTTAACTTCTATAAGTATGCTAAACTTTGTTCAAATTCGACTTACGGGTTGTCAGGAGTTAATGAGAACCTAACAAAATGAAATGAATTAATGTTGTTTTGCTCTCATCATTGTTCTTATTTGACTCAAGTTTTTTATAGGAAACTACTTGAACTTTTTTTAATAATATACATTACTACATTTTTATAATGTAATTATTACTTAACCTTTTACTAAGATTTATTTAATTTTTTTCTTAATCACAGTCATTTCGTTATACATTTATCACTAAACAAGAACTTGTAAAACTGTATCGAACACAACTTAAGTCTACTGAGTTAATATCATCTTCATCCTAATTTTTATGTCTTATTCATTCGAATTATGCTTCGATTAATCGATGATTTTGTTTCTTCTAGCGGAAATCACTCTGTTTTTTTTCTTCTTCAGACTCTACTTTTGTAAATGTTATATTTCACTTAAATTCATATAACACTGTTTAACTGCTTAAATTCTAATCCTTTTTTCACTTTGTTTTGTACGTACAATCATGGGAGTGAAATCATTTAAGCATAAACTCCATATTTTGTTAGTTCTATTATGACTTCTTTAAAAAGAGCCCTTGTCATTTGATTTGATAATTTTTGACTTTACATTTACTTCATTAATTAATATATCTCTGGTTAAGATCACTGACTTTAAATTCCTTTATGCCTTCACGAAAAAATGTGTAAATTTATTTGTTCATAAAACATTTGCTATCAGTTTTACTTAATAATTTTTGCTTGTCATGCTGCTGAGTAATAACCAAGTAATCCGACTGTCATCCATTTATAAGATTAAGTCTTTTGAAAGAAATGATCAATCGGTCATTACATATTAAAATTCGGTTATTTTCTTTTACCTTAAATGCATTTTGTACAAATAGTAAATTAGGCTATTTTTTACATCAATTAAATACTATGAAAAGCTTAACTATATCTACACTTTTAATAACCGTTATCTCTATCTCATTAGACTAGTGAAATGATTGAAATCAATCATTATATCAAAACGGTTTAAAAAAGATGACATAATGAAATTTATATTCATTTATATGGATATATGAGATTTTAGCATTATAGATGATGTCAGTTCGTGATGAAAACGCTAACTCCGAATCCTAAACTTCAGTGTCAACTCGGTTTTAATCTTCATTCCTCACATCAATACATAAACCTCTTTTAACCCTAGTAGGAAGATGAATATTACCAAGGTCACCGTAGCATCACTTGAAGGTCGTCTGAAAAATATAATCTCATCAAACAAATTTCTGTTTACAGTGCGTTCTAATTGTAACAATTCAGAAAAGTATGTTATGAATATTTTTAGCAGTCATCATCTGTCACCCAACTTAAATTATGTAAGGTTTCTACTAGTTTTGATGAAATTGCATCATGTGTTAACAACTACTTTCTCCAACGATTATGTATGAGATGTTTGAATTTCAGCGTATTTACCTCTTGTATTTTTTAAGGATAGTGCTAAGGTGATCACAAGAATAATCGAATTAATTAGAATTGCTAAAATCTCTTCAGGAACGATAACTTCCCGCGTATTCTCTTCTGATTTAATTTCCCACATGACCTTTATTCTCTGATTATTTGTGACTTAGTGACTTAGATTTCTGTAGGCTTGAAGGTCATATTTTGATGCTATAATAACAGCAGTTGTATCAATTACTTTCGCATTACTTGTCCTACCTCGAATATCAAGTTCCCTGCAATCCAACTTCTTCCTGTGTTATCTATCGGGGTTTCGATGTATTGTGTTTAAACTGACATTGTCAACTTTAAGAAGAACCGACCGTATTAGAATAGCTCAATTGTTTTGTCTCTAGAACCGTAAACATCGTGGGCCAATACTGGACCCCGAAAGCAAGATACAACAGACAGATAAGAAGAAAAATATGCTGATAACTTTAGTGTTACGAGTTTTCTAGTATTCAGTTCGTCATTTATTTGTAAACCGTTTTTAGTGACACGTGGATTCATACAGTTACCATTGACCATGGAATTCAAAAACGTTTACAACAGGAAACTTAATTAGTAAATTCGCAGAGTTGGAAAATAGGTAGCCAGAACGTTGGGATAGGACAACTAGTCCAAACGTGGTATGATAAATCATTTGAAAAATTTCCATATTGTGATTTAGAACAACATATTTAAGCGAACAATGTCGTTTTCGATTTGATCCTCATCATGCTTTACTTTAACATACAGTAATATTTATATGCACATACGAAACTATCAAACCAATCAAGGCAGTTTATGAGTCAATGATAACAATTGAGTAGATTATATAAGTAGACATAAAAAGTGAAAAGTACTAATTGGTAATGTGATGGTTTTATCAGTAGAAGTGTGTGTAGGAAAAGTTCTTCAGCAAGCCAGTACACATATTTCTTGAGCTTTGTACCCCTTCATTATAAGAGAAACTTACTCAAATGTCTTGCAAATAGGGCTAGGAAGATATGTTGAATTGATACAACAAACAAGGAACCAGAGCTCATATATAATATGTTGATTGAGATGGGTTATCAACAACGTTTCCTGAGGAAGCACTTGCACGTAACAAACAAGAAAATAGAAACATCAATAGCTAGTAAGAAACCCCTCTTCCTGAAGTTGCGATTCAATGGAGATGTAACTGATGATATGGTAAGGGATAGACTAACTAGAGCAGTGAAGAGAACGTTTAATGCAGCCAACCTCTATCTATCATACTTGATCCTACTTATGGTGATTTCTCAACTGAAGGACAAGTTACTTGTATATGCCACATCTGTGTGCATCTACGGCTGCAGCTGCTCCTGTTGAGAAAGCTGTGTTGGGCGCACTACGAGACAACTAAGGCAAAGAGTTAATGAACATATCCCTTCATGGGTAGGAAAAGATACTGTCAAGACAATACGCAGCTCGGTTCTATCACATTTGATCGATAGCGGTCATATAGTAGACAGAAATAGGTCACTTAAATTTATTTATCGCATCTTTGTTTGCAACAAAGGTGTGTTAGTCCAAACGTTTGGATAGCAAGTATACAAGAAATTATACGCTCAGCCTTCTCAGTAGATCGGTCAATAAAGCAAAACTTTCCCGTCAGAACGGCTTGGAATGTATTTGGAAATCTGTACATAAAAGTTACTGCACCTCACATCCATGGACTACACCAAGGGGTCCTAGAAACTCCCCACTATAGTTCAATAAAGAGGTTCTCAGAACTCGGCCTAAGAGAACAATGTACGAGATATTTAGATCACTGAGTGCTGACGAGAAAAAGTTTCAATATCGGGGAGCTCAAAATATTTGTACCTCGACCCTTCGCAAGTCTAGAAGGTTGCATGAAAAAAAGTTAGTTAATGAGTGAACAGAATATCCCAAACTCCTATAGTTATATATAAATCAAAGGACTAAGAGAAGAGGTGACATCCCAGCTTTATGGGGAGGCAGTAATACTGCATCACTAGTGGGAGACGACTATGGTGAAGCTCAGGTACTCTCAAACTATTATAGCAATGCATATGCCGTAGAGACACCCTTTACTTCATTTCATAAAAGCACCCCACACACATATATACTGTGACCATAATTGAACTCGATGACTTTGGTCTGCTAAATAAGCTTGATATAGGCGAATCCGCGGGACCTGATGAAATGCATCCTAGGTTACTAAAGGAACTAGAAAATTTCGTTGAGAACCCCTTAAGCATATGTTTCGAACTATCTGCATCCCGGGGTCGATTACCAAACGACTAGAAGAACGTCGTCATAAGTCCTGTCTTCAAAATAGGTACTAAACATAAAGCTGAGAACTATTGACCGGTAAGTCTAACTAGCATGATTGTTAAAATTTTATAAAAGATTATTCGGAAGGCATTTTTGAAGTATCCCGACGAGAACTAGATGATTTCTGAAAAGCAGAATGGCTTTAGAATGGGTCACCCTTGTCTTACTAGCATATTAGTAACTCGTGAAAGTTGGTGCGCTCCTAAAGATCAAAAGTTACTTGTAGACGCTGCCTACATTGACTTCAGGAAAGCTCTTGACAAAATTCCCCATAACTGGCTGCTAAATATGTTAAGTAATATCGTGGTTGAAAGCAAGTTAATAATGTGAATACAAGACTTTCTAGTTCAGCTCCAACAAAGCATAGGGATGAGCTCAAAGTTGTCTAGCTGGGAAACTGCGCTTAGCGGAGTGCCTCAGGGTACAGTTTTCGGGCCAATGTTGTTCCTCATGTATGTGAATAACCTTCCTCGTCTCCTATCATCATCGGTCTTGCTGTATGTTGACGATGTCAAGATACGGAGAGCGATACTGAGTATGGGTGATAGTTTAGAGCTTCAAAATGACCTAGAGAAGTTTTCTGACATGTATAAAATTTTGCAGTTGCTGATAAATGCTCCCAAGTGCACTGTGTACATATTAGTTACCAAGGTACTGATACATACACGGCAAATGACATCAAGCTACCTGTTGTCCAAACACGCAGCGACCTGAGTCATGGTTAACAAAGACTTCAAAACTACTACACACCGCCGTGTGATGGCGGCCAAAGGTTTTAGAACCTTATGGTCAGTACACAGATCCCTTAGCCATGTCATGCTAAAAGGTTTTTGATTTTGTATAGAGTAATCGTTCGTCCTAAACTTGGGTAACACATATAAGCGGCTAGCTGCTGCCTAAAGTGAGATAGCGAGCTGATGGAAAAGACTCAATGAACCGCAACTAAGCTGATTCCAGGAGTCGAATAGCTCCAGTGTGATGCTCGATTGACGAAACTAAGCCTATTCTCATTGCCATATCAAAGAACCAGAGGCGACGTAATCATAGTTTTTAGATTACTTAGTGATAAATTTGCGTCTGATATGCTCTCGTTTTTCTCGTCTTCCAAAACAGAGAATTTATGAGGACACTTTAGAATGTTCACAAGCTCAGAACAAATTACTTGTCAACTGATATTCGACTTTCCCATCGAATCGTTACCGAACGGAATTCAGTACCTCAACACATAGTTGAAGCTCTATCTGTCGACGCTTCTAAAAGAAATTTGGATTAACTGAGAGACCACCATTTTCAGGACTAACACAGACCACATGGTTGAAGGGTTGTGCAATTTCATGGATCGGTTGAAGTTAGACATCAACCCTATTGGATGCTGGGCCAGTGGTCTAGAGATTAAGCATTCGTGCGCAAGACTGAAGGTCCTGGGTTCGAGTCACGCGCGTGGGTTTGTGGTTGCGCATTGCTGAGAAGTCCCATGCTAAGACGAAACGACCATCCAGTGCTTCCAGGTTTTCAGTGGTGGTCTAGCTTAG